GCTCTGCCCTCATGAATGGATCAATGCCATTATTTTGGAAATGGGTTAGTTATTGCAGGTTGGTTCCTGATACAGGGATGACTTCAGCCCCCTTTCCTCTTGCTCTCTTATCCTGTGTCACTCTTGCCTTTTGCCATGGGTTGATGCAGCAAGAACGCCCTCATGGGATGTTGGCACCTTGATATTGGACTTCTAAGCCTCCAGAACTGTGAAAAATAATTTTTTTTTTCTAAATTATCCCAGTGGTATTTGTGCAGTGGTATTCTGTCATAACAACACAAAATGGACTAAGACAATTATATTCCCTTATTATCTTTTTAGTATCTGTAGACTGTAGTGATTTCTGGCTCTCGTGTTCTTGATATTGGTCATTGTGTCTTCTCTTTTTTTCCCTGATCAATCTAGTTAGAGGTTTATTCTAAACAGATTTTTGTTTTCATTTATTTTCTGTTTTGCTGATTTCTGCTTCAGTATTTATTCCTCCTTTTTTCTGCTTATTTTAGATTTTGTTTGCTCTTCTTTGTCTCATTTCCTCAGGTGAAACCTGAGTTGACTTGTGTGAGATGTGGGTATGGAATTTGATTCTACTCTGTTTTTTAATTTCAGTAATTTAAAGATGTTACTACACTTTCTTCTCATTTACATTGTTTCCTACGAAATGTCTCCTCTGGTCCTTATTTTTGTTCCTCTGTGTCTTTTTATTTTCCCTGGCTGCTCTTAAGATTTTCTCTTGATTGCATATTTCAAGCCATTTGATTATGATGTGCTTTGGTGGTCTTCATATTTCTAATGCTTGTGGTGGTTGAGCTATTTAGGTTTATAATTTCTGTCAAATTTGGAAAAATTTTTGCCATTATTTCTACAAATATTTTTCTTTCACCCATTCCCTTTTCAGGAATTCTAGTTATACTTCTATAAGGCTCACTTATGTTTCATTCATTTAATTTCTTTTTCTCTCTCTTTCATTTTAGATAGTTTCTGTTCCTCTGTCTTTATTAATCTTTTCTTCTACAAGATCTAATCTTCCCTTAATCGCATCCAGGTATCTTTCAGCTTATACATTCATTTCAGTTTTCATCTCTGGAAGTATGATTTGGTTCTTCTTTTAAAAAGGGAAATCTTCTTTGTCTTGATTTAACTTTTTGAACACATAGGTTATGTTTATGGTAACTGCGTTAATGTTTTTGTCTGCTAGTTCTTACATTTATGTTCTTTTTTAAAATCACCTCATTATGGTTACTATTTTCCTGCATCTTTAGATAGCTGGTAATTTATTATTGAATTTTAGATATTGTAAACTTTACTTTATTGGGTGCTATTTTTGTGTTCTTTTAAATATTTTTGAAATTTATTCTGAGATTAATTTAAATTCTTGGGAAACATGTTAATATTTTCAAGCATTATAAGATTATTTATTTTCTTGCAGGATTGGAGCAGTGCTCTAACTGGGGCTAATTATTTCCCACTACTGGGGCAAGATCTTACTTTGTATTCTGTGCAGTACCCCATGACATCAATTATGAGTTTTTCTAGTCCAGTTGGTGGGGAACATGATGTTTTCAGTCCTGTGTGGGTTCCCAGTACTGTTCTCTATGATCATTTTCTGTGGTTCTTTCCTTAATCTCATGTAGTGATACAGTTAGGCATTTTGTTCTCACCCAAATTTCATCTTGAATTGTAATCCCCATGTGTCCAGGAAGAGATCTGGCAGGAAGTGATTGGTTCATGGGCAGTTTCTCCCATGCTGTTCTCATGATAGTGAGTTCTTATGAGATCTGATGGTTTTATAAGGGGCTCTTCCCACTTTGCTCCTCACTCTTTTCTCTCCTGCTACCTTGTGAGAAGGTCCAAGCTTGCTTTGCCTTCTGCCGTGATAGTAAGTTTCCTGAGGCCCCCTAAGCCATGTGGAACTGTGAGTCAATTAAACCTCTTTCCTGTATAAATTACCCAGCCTCTGGCAGTGTGAAAACTTGACTAATCATGTAGTTTCTTTACATACACACACGTGCGTGAGCACACACACACACATACAAACACACACATATTGTCCATTCCTAAGCTAAGTACTTAAAAGAGACAACTTGCAGATCTCCAGAGCTTTCTCTCTGCAGCTCTATCTGCTGTGGTACTCTGTTCTGGGAATTCTAGCTGTCTTGGTTTTCCTGGACTCTTAGCTTCATCTTCTCAAATGAGGGACTGTGCTGGGCATGAAGCTGGAGCCGTTCTAGGGTTTACCTTGCTTGTTTTCTGATACTCAGAGACCACTTTTCTTTATTCCTTGATGTTCAGTGTGTTGAAAACATGATTGATCCATATATTGTGTCTGTTTTTATAGTTGTTTCATGTAGGGGAATAAGTCTGGTTCCCGTTACACTATCATGTCCAAAGCGTAAGTCTCCCAGATGGCTACTTTAAATTGGATGATGAAAGATGCTCTCAGAGGAGTTGTCCTTTAAGCTGAGATTTGAATGACAAGAAAGTGTCAGCTACATTAAGAACTGAAAGCAGAATATTGTGGCATTGAGAAAAGTTAGTTCAAGACCCTTAGATAAGAAGGAACTTGGGCTGTTCAAGGAACCAAATGGAGGCATCTGTGTCTGGAATAAGGGCGGGAGTGATGTAACATGTTCTCGAAAGGGTACATGGGGGCCTCTGGTGAAGAGTTAAGATTTAAACCTAAATATGGGAAGTTGTGAAAGAGTATAAAGCAGGAAATGGCATAATATAGTTTGTATTTATATTTTAATACCATGATTCTGGCTGCTTTGAGGATAATGGATTGTAGGAGTAGCAGAGTAGAAGCAGTGAGATTGTATGAGAGGTTATTACATTACTTGGTGGCTTAAACAGCAGAAATTTTTTTTCTTACTGTTCTGAAGACTGAAAGGCTTGAGATCAAGGTGTCAGCAGGTGGTTCTCTTGAGCCCTCTGATGGCTGCCTTCTTGCTCTGTCCTCATATGGCCTTTTCTCTGTTCATATGCATCCCTGGTGTCCCTTCCTTCTCTTATAAGGATACCAATCCTGTTGGATTAAGACCCTGCACTTATGACCTCACATAACCTTAATTACCTCTTCAAAGACCCTGTCCAAATACAGTTACATCAAGAGTTAAGGCTTCAACATAGGACTTTTTGGAAGGACACAAGGCAGTCCATAGCAGGGAGTAATCAGCATATAGATGCTATCTAAAGTCACAGGCCTTAAGGAACATCTGTATGTAGGAAAGATTAGGTAGCCTCATATGGAGTTTAGGCACAGTGAAAAAGAGGTCAAGCAGAGGAGGTGGTGCCAGCAAGGTAGACTGGAAAGCAGAATTGGGGAAAGGGGGAACAAAAGAGAATGTGGCATCCTGGAAGAAAAGAATGTGTTGTCTGGATGGAGGGTTTTTTCCACTTGGGCAGCATGCTTCTGAGGCTCTGGAGCAGCAAGGAGTCTAGAGTCTTGGGGAACTGAAAGAAGACCAGAATAGCTGGAGTATAGAAAGTGAGTAGTAAGGGATGTAGCAGAAAAAGTGGTCAGGGGCCTTGAAGACTTTGATAAAGATGTTTGTTTTAATCCAGGAGAAATAGGCAGCCATGGGAGGGTTTTAAGCAGTAGAATGCAAGACTCTGGTATGGATTTGTGTTTTAAAAAGATCACTTTGGCTGTTGTGTGGAGAATGATTTAGAGGGGAAATCAATGGATGTGGTTACTGATGGGGATTAAGGGGCTGGTACGAGATGGTGTCGAGACTGGATGGTTGCACCCTTTACTAAGGTAGATGATGCTGGAGGAAGATTGTGGGAATGGCGCAGGGAGGTTATGAGTTTACTTGAAACCTAGCTAGTTTGAAGTACTAAGAGATATTTTAGTTTATGGGTGCCTGCTGCATTATTTTTTTTTTTTGTTTGTTTGTTTGTTTTGCCTAGAAACCTTTTGTAAAGTAGAACTGGAGAGAATTTCAGTGCTTGTGTTTTTATCCCAACATAATTAAATTAAACTTTAGAACAGATACATAAATTATAAAATTAGAGGGTCACTGTTGTTTAAGATCTTAAACACCCAAAGGAGTATGCTGGTAATTACTTGTATATATGTTATTTTCAGTTGTTACCAGTAAAGCGAGAATTTTTAAATACTGATGGTTAAGGAAAGGCTAAATGCAAATGATTTTATTAGGTCTAAAATTTTTCATTTAGTGGTACTCGTGGTTATTGCATCAATAGCTAAACATCTTGAATATTAGATAATTGACTAAGTTTGGGAAATGATTTAAATGATAATAATTTTTCTATAATAGACCATAGGTTATATATTTTCTTCCTGTGCTCATTTGGAAATACAGATTTTGAAGTTTTTACCTATTTTGGAGATTCTTCAAAAGTAAATCAGTGGTAAGAAAATTTAGGTAGCATTGGCCAGCCGCAGTGGCTCATGCCTGTAATCCTAGCACTTTGGGAGGCTGAGGCGGGAGGATCATGAGGTCAGGAGATCGAGACCATCCTGGCCAACATGGTGAAACCTCTTCTCTACTAAAATACAAAAAAGTAGCCAGGCGTGGTGGTGTGTGCCTGTAGTCCCAGCACCCAGGAGGCTGAGGCAGCGGAATCCCCTGAACTCGGGAGGCAGAGGTTGCAGTGAGCCGAGATCACACCACTGCACTCCAGCCTGGAAACAGAGTGACACTTTGACTCAAAAAAAAAAAAAAAAAAAAGAAAAAAGAAAATTTAGGTAACATTATTGGGTACTTCTAATGTACAAAACATTGTGTCATCAAATACTTTACTGTATTCTATAGAAATGAGACATGAAAGTTTTGAAAAATACCCAAGTTAAGTTAGCACAGTTTATAGAAAGTCTTTTGTGATATTGATTGCTCTGCACAGTACTTAATTTAATAATATTTGTACTATAGATTGAAGCTCCAGAGAGAAATGATTGTGTGATCTACAGCAAAGAGATTATATTTGTCTTTTTCATTTGAATCACCATTATCTCTTTTTGTTACGTTTAATTACAGGACTGTTCCCTGATGTGGGCGGAGGTTATTTCTTGCCACGACTTCAAGGAAAACTTGGTTACTTCCTGGCATTAACAGGATTCAGACTAAAAGGAAGAGATGTGTACAGAGCGGGAATTGCTACACACTTTGTAGATTCTGAAAAGGTACTTTTTTGGATGTTAGCATTTTATAATGTTGGAATAACAACACAAAATAGTGCATGGGAAAGTACAATGGGTAGTTGAGATCCACAGACTTTTGGTGGAATCGTGGTGTGAGTCCTGGACCTGTTAGCTTATAGCTGTGTTACCTTGGAAAAAGCGCATAAGCGCTCTAATTCTGTTTCCTCATAAGAAAACTGGAGATAATGATACCTGGATTCAGGGCTGGCACCTTCAGTGAGTATTTTTAAATGAACAATTAGAGTCTATTAAAAAAAAAAAAAGTCATGCCTACCTTAAGAAAGTCTAATACCTACAAATTAAATTTATATATAAAAAGATAGGCTTTTATTTTATGAGGACATTTTGAAAGCTGCTTTTGGTTATGAATTTCCCTAGTACATTGAAAATAATTGCATTTGACTTTTTAAAAACATATCTGTTACAAGGAACACATGTTATCTTTGCTTTTTTTTTTAAAAAAAAAAAAAAAGTGTGGCCAATTTTCTCAGCACAGGATAATGTAGTGGCAAAGAGTAAGTATATAGATAGTCTGATCTGAGTTTAAATCTTAACCGGAATTTAGCCTTTTTTGCACCCCGCCCCCCCACCGGCTTCCCCATCTGCAGAATGGAGATGACACTATTACAATAATAGTTGAAACTCCTTGTGTTACATGTGACAGATGACCCAATTCAAGGTAGTTTTGCCCTGGATTACCCAGCAAGAGACTTAGGATGTATGTTGCTTCACCTAGCTTAGTTCATTCTAACTAGACTGACTTATCTCATCCTTGAACCATATGGGTAGTTAGAATGTACCAACTGGCTTATCTAAGTAATGCACGCTCTATTCTTGGACCTGTGGGGTAAAGTCAGCTTCCTAGGAAGCACATGGTCATCAGATAAATATCTGGTCTTAAGGGAAGGGTGTTTTTGTATAGAGGAAGGAAAGCTATAAAAATTAAACTAGAAAATATTATGTTACATGCTTAGCCCAGTAACTGACATATAGTAAACATTCAAAATCTTACCATTATTAATATTTTTAATGCAGTTTTATATTTTTAGAGGTGACCAGATTTTTCATTGAGAGTCTCTTTTATATTACAGAGGATGTTCCATTTTATCCTCATATCTATAACTTTCTTCTGTTTTGGGTAATGATACCAGAGATTATATCGACAGTTGGCCTAGAATGTGAGTCCCCCCAAGGACTTTTTACAAATGATGATGATTTAGTCTCACACATCCTCTTTGGCCATTGAAGTAGACCAGCTTGGATAGCATAAAAACGTACTATTTGGTCACTAATAGAATTCTCTTCACAAACTTTATAAATTGGCTGTGGAAATTTTTATGTGATGAACTTTGGTCTCATTTCTCACACAGATTATGTAAAATGTATGAAGTATGCAAAATTGAAGATTGTCTCTGTATACTGTTATGAGAGTTTTCTGTCATGTTTGGCCGAAGATTCAGATCTTTCTCTGTGCTGTGGGCATCCTCAGTCACGTTGAGCAGGCAGCTGTCTCATGCTTCCCTTGAGCTATAACAGGAAGCAAACATGGGCATGCGATTATCCTGTCTGGAAGGGACACCCTTGATTACAGTGGAATTTAGTTTGGTATAAGAGAGAGACCTGATGCATAATCCGTTTCTTTCTTTGTCAGTGTGTTCAATACTAATATCTGCAGTGAGTAGACGCATTCTCAGGGCCTGTAGAGGATACAAAAAGGAGAACTGTATGTTGGGGGTGGGATTAGAAGTGGGTACAAAAGATAAATAGCCATTTTTCTCATCTGGCAGAGGTGTAAAGTGTGGTAAGTGTAAAAATAATACAAAGAAAATACTCAAAGAATTCAAAGGAGGAAGAGCTTACCCGTAAGAAAGGACTAGAAGCTTTTTTTGTAAAGGTTGCAGTACAGCTGGCCTCAAGGTGAGTATATCAGGAAAAGGTATTGTCAGGTAAAGGAAACATTTAATGAAACCACAGGGGCAAGAAACCATTACCTATATTTTGGGAACAGTAAAAAGTCTTATTTGGCTCAAGGTAGGATAGATTAAGTGAGGGATTAGATGGAGAAATAAGTGAAGCTATATTACAGTGTTGTGCCTTGACTATGGTAGCCACTAATCATTTGTGGCAATTTTTGTTAATTAAAATTAAAATGTATAATGTAGGTCTTTGGTTGCAAGTGCTGAATAGACTAAGAGAAACAAAGATAAATGTTTCTGTATCTCCTCCTTAATTTCTTCCATCTTTATCCCTTCCTTTGAAGGCTATATTTGCTAGGTGGGAATATCTGTTTATTCAACTTCAGTCAAAATTTCTTTCAGTGAATCAGCTGAAGAAAGAGCATGATAATTTAAAGATAAGGATTCTAAAAAAGAAGAGATTTTTATAAAGCTTTCTATGTTTCTATTGGATCTCACTCAGATCTTGCCTTTTTTTTTCTCCCCTTTAGTTGGGCATGTTAGAGGAAGATTTGTTAGCCTTGAAATCTCCTTCAAAAGAAAATGTTGCAGCTGTCTTAGAAAATTACCATACAGAGGTAATCTTGTTAATACTCTTAACATCAGGTTTTAATTCATGGGGAGGAGAAGTAATTAAAAAATTAGCAGTTGGTAAATATTATAGTTTGTAAATATCAATAAATGTACTAAGGATTTATTTACTTAAAGCATGGTAGAAGAATCAGTGCTTCACAGTTGTCACAGCCAGCTAACAAGATGACTTCTTTCCTGTGCAGTTGCATAGCTGTGTTGCCACTGCTGGTTAACTTCGGTGCATAGCCTTCTTATCATTCTTTGCTGGGGTTTTGGCATTTCTGTAAAAGTGTTCAGTGTTAACACTAAAGTATATTGCAGCATTTATTTTTGATTCCTTATGTTGTCTGACTTAAATTTTCAAGTAAGAGCTGAGAATCTTTAAAAACACTACATAGTTTCTAGATAAACATGATTGCATACATGCGGCCTCCTAAAACCATTCAAAATTATAATAAATAAATAAAAAGTCATAAACTCACAAAGACAAGTAAAACAGAAGAGGAGACAGTGGCAGACATGAGACGTTAGAATTTTGGAAGCTTGAAATCAGAAGGATGAGTGCTGCTAACTTAAAGAACTCTGAAAGCCAATAAGAAGTCAGCTGATTCTTGCTTTAGACCCTTATAATGGGACCAGGACCCTCTGAAGACTAGAATATAGAATGGGGCAGAAGAAAAGGAAGATTTCTTATAAGTTTTAAAAAGCAGTTATACTTTTTTTTTTGAGACAGAGTCTTGCCCTGTCATCCAGGCTGGAGTGCTGTGGCACGATCTCGGCTCACTGCAACCTCCACCTCCCAGGTTCAAGTGATGGTGCCTCAGCCTCCCGAGTAGCTGGGCCTACAGGGATGCACCATCATGCCCAGCTAATATTTGTGTTTTAGTAGAGACAGGGTTTTACTGTGTTGGCCAGGCTGGTATCTAACTTCTGACCTCAAATGATCTGCCCTCCTTGGCTTTCCATAGTGCTGGGATCGCAGGCATGAGCACTATGCCCAGCCCCTCTACAAATCTTGCACAACTAAGAGTAGCTGTCTTCCAGTAACCTGGCAGACTGACTGTAACCTATAGACTGACTCCTTAGAGAAACCAAATCAGGCAGGTCTAGCTGAGGGTAGAGATAAGCAAAGTACTGTACTGAAAAGAGATGAGATATAAGTAAATTGGAAGACCTCTGTCCCGTTTCCTTAGTTGACTTGCAGAATGGCTGCATCCCACCCCACTGCTAAGCAATACATTGGAAGAAAAAAAACCGTAGACATTGACATGTCTTAATAACACATCTGACTGATCATCTTATAATGTATCATACAGTTGAGAATCCCATAACTACAATTGACATTAGACACAAAGCTTCCTAATTTTAGTGCTTTGCATAGAAAAATATTCCGAGGCCAAAGCAAACAACAAAGGCACTGGAAGGAAGCAGACAATGCAAGAAGAAGGAAACTTGAAAAAACAAACACCAATCTGTAACTATCATCTTGAGATAAGAGGAAAATATTTTACCTATGAAACAACAATGTATACTATAAAGGTAATTCAAAGAATAATATAGGCATGGCTCAGAGATAATCTGAGTTTGGTTCCAGATCGTGGCAATAAAGCTAGTCACATGGATGTTTTTGTTTTCCAGTGCTCATAAAAGTTTTTACACTACACTGCAGTCTATTAAGTGTGCAAGAACATCATGTCTAAACACAAGTACATATCTTATTTATAATTAAATAATTAAATTAACTAAAAATATTTATGATCATCTGAATTTCAGTTAGTCATAATTGTTTTACTAGTGAAGGGTCTTGCCTAGATGTTGATGGCTACTGGCTGATCTTGGCAGTGGTTATGCCTGTTAAATTTTAAAAATGATAACAAAATGGGGAGTAAAAAACCCACAACAGATTAAAATCTATGGTTGAGGAAAACTAACAGAAAAGGATAATGAAACAGAAAAAGGAGAGAATGGAAAATCAGAGGTGTTATTGCAGCAGGTCTAAAATCTAATTATTAGGAATTCATAATAGAGAAGATAGAGGGAAGGAAATGTTTAGAGAAGTAGTACTGAAAACATTACCCAGAACTGGAGAACACAAGTACATATTGGCAAGGCCACCGAGTACTTGGTGCACAGAATATGAATACAGAGCACATGAGGATTTCACTTGTTTTTATCAGAGCATTTGATAGTCTCCTGTTGTTGAATTGAGTAAATATGGGATGGATTATGGTTTGTGGGGGTTTAAAGGCCTTATCAAAGAGTTCTACTAAATGTATAGGTGTTACTATGTAGGGAAGTCATCTAAGACTTAGTACTTTTCTCAAGTGATTTGGAGACCACTGATAGCATTTTGATCAAGTTGATGTAGAACTAAGAAAAATAAGCAAAAAGAATATGGATGAAAAACTTAGAGTTTAGAGTGACCTGGTCAATAGTAACAATGTGAAATTTAATAAAGATAAGTGCAAATCTTGTGTTTTAACCCAAAGTACTGAATTCAAAAGTGCAGAATAGGAGAAACACAGCCTACAATGGCACAGGTTTAAAAAACAGAAAAGTCTTATTTAATTGGAACTTAATGTGAATCAGCTGTAATCATAGGCCTCTCTTAACACTAACTCAGAGTTAGTCCAGTTAAGAAAAGTATATCCAAAGCAATCAAGGTCATGCAGAGCCCTCTTGTACTTTGCTACGAGCCAGCCACACCAGCAGCTAAGATATGTGCCCCATAGTTGAAGAATGACTTTGAAAAATTGGAACTTGTCCATAAGAAGGACCCGGATCATGAGGGGACACAAAACTGTGTCATATGGGAAATGGTTAAGGTGAAAGAAATTAACCACAACTATAAACATGCTAGAATTGGTTTTTGTTCCAGAATTAAAACAACAGAAACCTAATTATTCAGTTCCAGCATTTGTGAGCGCTTCCCTGAGGTGCTGTTTTCTCTCTCCGAAGGTCAGAGCTGCAGAGATACCAAGGATGTGGTGGGAATTTCTCGCTAGTATGAAAATTTGGGCAGGTTGACCTTTTAGGTCCCTTACAATCCTTAACTTCACATACAATGATAATGTGTCAAATGTATTAGTGATTACAAATACTTATACATGTAAATAAAAATATCAGAACATTTTTGCCATTGATAACTTTTAAGAGCTAGAGTTCTGTATGCTGTCTGAATTTTGATCATACAGTGGTAGTTATTTATGAGACTGTTAGATGTAATTTGAAAGGAGTAAGTGACAATCTTTCACAAAGTATATCATTAAATATGAATTTTTAAATATTAAAATATTGTGTTCAAATTTATTAAAAGATTTTTCTTTTCAAACAGTGTAAGATTGATCGAGACAAGTCTTTTACACTTGAGGAACACATGGACAAAATTAACAGGTACTTAAAAATAGATCTCAGTTATATATTCCTTTGTAAAGACTATATTAAAATGAACTTGCTAACATTATAATTACCATTAGAATTACCTTGTGTTTGATAGTGCACTGAATTCTGAGATAGCATAGAGCTTTCTTTTTTTTTTTTTTTGAGACAGCCTTGCTCTGTCCCCCAGGCTGGAATGCAGTGGTGAGATCTCGGTTCACTGCAACCTTTGAGGCTCCCCACTCCCTACCCCAGGTTCAAGCAGTTCTCCTGCCTCAGTCTCCTGAGTAGCTGGGACTACAGGTGCCTGCCCCCATACCTGGCTAACATTTGTATTTTTAGTAGGGACAGGGTTTGGCCATGTTGGCCAGGCTGGTCTCCAACTCCTGACCTCAGGTGATCCACCCACTTTGGCCTCCCAAAGTGTTGGGATTATGAGCGTGAGTTACCACGTCCTGCCAGCATAGGGTGTTTTTTCACTTACCTTTGAAAGTAGCTGCTTACTGGGTGAAATAAATTCATTGTATTTAGTAATCTACCATGAGAATTCATCTTAGTACAGAATATCTTTTTTTTTAAATGGGGAAGAGCAGCTAGAAAATAATAATTGAATTAACTTTTATCTTTGTAAATTCATCTTCTCTGAAGATCTTACCAAGCTTACCAGCAAAAAGATTTTGTGCAGTGATTCAAATTCATGTTAGTGCAAAATAACTGTTTTCTTAAGTGGGGAAGAGAAGCTAGAAAATAATTGAATTAACTTTTATCTTTTTAAATTTATCTTCTCGGAAGGTCTTATCAACCTGATCAGCAATGATTTGAGAGATTGACAGACTGGCTTTGGGAAACAGGAAGAAAAGTATTACAAAATAAGACAACCATCTCTACTATTTAGAAGCATCTACTTTTTGTAGTTGAATTATTTCTTTACATAGAAATATAATAGATGCAAAAATGCAAAAGAAAAAATAAAATTTAGGTTTTATTTTGTATTAGTGAAGGTAGGCTACAAATGCTTATCCAGGGAAGCAGTGCTCTGTTTCTTTTTACATCCTGTTAAAGAGATTGGACAATTCTTAATTATTGAAATAGAGGTGCGGGAAAGCCTACATTCAGATTCATCAGTATGTTAGAAACAGGAAATCACTTGCACACTGGTGAAATCACATTTCCTTTTTTATAGTTGTTTTTCAGCCAATACTGTGGAACAGATTATTGAAAACTTACAGCAAGATGGTTCATCTTTTGCCCTAGAGCAGTTGAAGGTAATACTGGGATCCTTTCTGCCTTGACTGAACATGGTGAAGTCCAGTGACAGGGAAGGCTCTCTAAGGGGTATTAGTGCTCCATTGGTGATGACATAGCCCATGCATTGTGTTTTCTTTTTCCCAAATTTAGGTGAATTTCAGAAATCCGTTCCACTAACCTTGACCTAAATTCAAGTGCTGTTTCTACCTGCTGGTTGTTGAGGGCAAAGCTAAGCTAGTTTTATGTCCTTTGAATGTAACAGAGGACTTTTGTAAGCATGCTTCATTTCCAAATAGTCCTCCTTGTCCTGTGGAGGAGAATTTTAGGGACATTTTAATTACATTAGAAGGGCTGGGTCACTGGAGAATAGTCATCTTACGATGTGTTTGCAATTGTGACATTGATCTATAAATTCTACTTAATATGGCCTTTCTAAGCAGGAGGTTTAATTAAAAAGTGATCCTTTTTAAACAAGATACTCCATCTCTTGCCATAGCTGGGTCTTATGTAGTGTTTCTGTGTTTCGTGTAACTCAACTGTTAACAGCAGAAGAGCCATTTTTGTATAAATGTGTGCATACCAAGTATTGACATTCTTAGACCTCTAGTGTGATTATGAAACTTGGAGTATTTCAGACTTCTAGACAAAGAAAAGGCATGTTTTCTTATACTTAAAAAGTATTTCAGCTTGTCTTTATCTGACAGTATTTTTTGTATATTTTATATATATAGCTGTGTATGTGTGTGTGAGTGTGTGTGTGTATGTATATTTTTAGGCTCCATATCATGATTCCATAATATTTTTCTATTTCTAGATGTGATCATAACATTTCAGTTGTCAGGAAACATATTGAGAAAAAATGTTGATAGTCTTACCTATAAAGGTGAAAACATTTCCTCCATTGTCACTGTATTTTGTTGTTGTTGTTGTTGTTGTTGTTTTGAGATAGAGTCTTGGTCTGTTGCCTAGGCTGGAGTACAGTAGTGCAATCATAACTCAGTGTAGCCTCAACCTCCCAGGCTCAAGCAATCATCACACCTCAGCCTCCTGAGTAGTTGGCACTACAGGCATGCGCCACCACGCCTGGCTAATTTTTTGTATTTTTTTGTAGAGACAAGGTTTCACCAGTTGGCCAGGGTGGTCTGGAACTCCTGGGCTCAAGCAATCCACCCACCTCACTTCTCAAAGTGCTAGGATTACAGGCGTGAGCCACCACATCTGGCCTTTTACTATATTCTTAAGGGGGAAATCCAAAGTTAATTTGTGCCATGGGATCTTCTTCAGTATTAGAATTTCATTAACTTTCAAGGATAGGCATAAATTAGAGCAAGTAGACCCACCATTTATTTCCCTCACAAAAGTAGACTCTTATTATTAACAACTTCTAGGAATGTTTATGTAGATAATCATTTTGTATTTCAAGGAATCTGACTTTAAGTTGGTGTATTAGGGTTGTCTAGAGGGAAAGAACTAATAGGAGATATATATGTGTGTGTGTGTGTGTGTGTGTGTGTGTGTGTGTGTGTGTGTGTGTATATATATATATATATATATATATAAAGGGGAGTTTATTAAGTATTAACTTATGCTATCACAAGGTCGCACAGTAGGCTGTCTGCAAGCTCAAGGAGCAAGGAGAACCAGTTTGAGTCTCAAAACTGAAGAACTTGGAGTCTGATGTTAGAGGGCAGGAATCATCCAGTACGAGAGAAAGATGTAGGCTGGGAAGCTAGGCCAGTCTCTCCTTTTCATGTTTTTCTGTCTGCTTTATATTCGCTGGCAGCTGATTAGATTGTGCTCACCAGATGAAGGGTGGATATGCCTTCCCCAGCCCACTGACTCAAATGTTTAATTTCTTTTGGCAACACCCTCACAGAGACACCCAGGATCAATACTTTGTATCCTTCAATCCGGTGAAGTTGACACTAAGTATTCACCATCACAGGTCCACACCTGGTCAACTTGAACCCATACATATCTCCTGAGATCATATGTAATCTTCAAATAAAGACAATAAAATAAGGTCGTAATTATGCCTGACAAAATACAGCTATTTTTCATACAACCAGAAACGCACCAGTTCCCCACCCAAATACTATTACATAAAGTTGACAGTACTTACATGCTGATATGAAGTCAATAAATCTTATGTTACATAACGGAAAAGAAAATAAAGATACTTGCTTAGTACAAATATATACATGCATAAACGTGTTTTTAGCAAAAGACAGAGGAAATACTCATGACAATTACAATTTCCATTTCCACAGCTGGTCACATGGTTGTAGCTGGTATTGATGATTTCTCTACTATCCATTCTGTGTTCCCTTTGCCTTCAGCAAGTACCTCAGCAGATTGTGGGTATTTGCCTGCTGGAGTGACCCAACCCTTCATTCCTGAGGGCTTTGGGTCATTTGTAGTCCTGCCTGGATTGGGCTGTTGTAGTTCCCCATTGACCTTAATCACAGGGCATGGTAATACTAAGAGACACCCTAATGGATCTCCTCTATTCCATGCATATTCTTCCTTACCTCTGTTGTGGAGTAAAAGACTGATTTCATCTTGATAGTCTGGGTCAGTCACCCCAGCCAAAACTGTAACTCCCTTCTTAGCCTGTTGACTTAAAGGTAGGAGGAGCCCAGAGTGTCCAGGTGCCAATCTTAACTTCCAGTTTAATGGAATCATTGTTGTGTCTCCTGGTGGCAGCATTCCTCCTTCTGGAACTAAGACCTCTAGGCCAGCAGAATGTAACGTCACAGGAACAGGAAGCAGAAATTTTGCTAGTGGATCACTAGGGGTGATGGTAAGTGGTGCCACTTCCACTTCTACTCTTGATTCCTGGACCCATGAATTCTGGCTATGGGAGAAACAGTACCATATTTTGGGCACTGATTCAGAGCATATACAGCCTTCTGGAGAACTTTGCCCCAGCCCTGCAAAATATTGTCACCTAGTTAACATAATTGTGACTTCAAAAGGCATTCCATCATTCTGTCAGTCCAGCTGCTTCACGATGATAGGGAACATAGACCAGTGAATTCCATGAGCATGAGCCCAGTGCTGCACTTCTTTAGTCATAAAGTGAGTGCCTTGGTCAGAGGCAATGCTGTGTGGAACACCATGACATTGGATGAGGCATTCCATGAGTCCATGGATGGCAGTCTTGGCAGAAGCATTGCATGCAGGATAAGCAAACCCATATCTGGAGTAAGTGTCTGTTCCAGTGAGGGCAAACCTCTGCCCTTTCCATGATGGAAGAGGTTCACTATAATCAACCTGCCACCAAGTAGCTGGCTGATCACGTCCAGTAATGGTGCTGTATCGAGGGCTCAGTGTTAGTGTCTGCTGCTGGTGGATTGGGCACTCAGCAGTGGCTGTAGCCAGGTCAGTCTTGATGAGTGGAAGTTTATGTTGCTCAGAACCATACATAACCTCCATCCCTACCACCGTGGCCACTTTGTTCATGGGCCCATTGGGTGATGACAGGGTTGGCTGGGGAAAGTGACTGATTGGTGTCCACAAAACAGGTCATCCTACCCACTTGATTATTAAACTCCTCCTCTGCTGAGGTCATCCCTTGGTGAGCACTCACATGAGATAGAAATATCTTCATGGTTTTTGACCACTCGAGAGGTCCATCTACATACCTCTTCTCCAAATTTATTTGTCACCAATTTTCCAACCATGTTTCTTCCAAGTTCCTGGCCATCCAGCCAAACCATTGGCTACAGCCCATGAGTCAGTATATAATCACACATCTGGCCATTTTTCCTTCCATGCAAAGTGCACAACCAGGTGCACTGCTCAAGGTTCTGTCATCTGTAAAGATTTCCCTTCACTACTGTCCTTCAGGGATGTTCTAGAAAGGGGTTGTCATGCTGCAACTGTCCACTTTCAGGTGATGCCTGCATATCGTGCAGACCCTTTGTGAACCATGCCCAAGTCTTCTCGTCCTCTGTCAACTGATCATTGGGAACTCCCCATAAGGCCATCAGTGCCAGCTGGGAGAGAGAAGTCAGGGTGGCAGGAGAGGAGACCATGGGCATTTGAGCTACTTCTTCATGTAATTTACTTGTACCTTCAGGACCTGCTCAAACCTGATCACGTATATACCACTGCCATTTGATGATGGAATGCTGCTGTGCACAACCCACATTATGGCAAGATGGGTCAGAAAGCACCCAGTTCTTGATAGGCAGTTCAAGTAGTATCTTGACAGGGTCCACACCACTGGACCCTTAGAAATTTTACTGAGATAGTAGGTCCCTGAATTTTAGTTGGATTTATTTCCCGTCCTCTGGCACACAAATATCTCACCAGTAAGTCCAGTGTGTTTTCTGCTACTTGCTTACTGGATCCAGTCAGCATAATGTCATCAATGTAATGGACCAGTGTGATATCTTGCAGAAGTGAAAAGTAATCAGAGTCTCTCCAAATAAGGTTATGACACAAAGCAGAGAGTAGATATACCCCTGAGGTAGGATAGTAAAGGTATGTTGCTGGGTTGCCAGCTGAAGGCACATTGCTTCTGGTGGGCCTTATGGACAGGAATGGAGAAAAACGCATTTGCCAAGTCAATGGCTGCATACCAGGTAATAGGAAATGTGTTAATTTGCTCAAGCAATGAAACCACATCTGATAAAGTAGCTGCAATTGGAGTTACCACCTGGTTAAGCTTACGACAATCCACTCTCATTCTCCAAGATCCAGCTGTCTTCTGCACAGGCCAAATGGGAGCGTTGAAAGGGGATGTGGTGGGAATCACTGCCCCTGCGTCTTTCAAGCCCTTGATCATAGCACTAATCTCCACAATCCCTCCAGGAATGCAATAATGTTTTTGATTTACTATTTTACTAGGTAGAGGCAGCTCTAATGGCTTCTATTTGGCCTTTTCCACCATAATAGCCTTCACCCTACCAGGCAGGGAGCCAATCGGAGTGGTGGGGGAGGTTCTGCCAGCTGCTAAGTATGTTCATGCCAATTATGCATTATGGCACTGGGGAAATAACCACAAGAT